CAGCCAGCCCCACTCACCCGCCCTCCTCCCTCCTGTTCCTCCAGCCTCCAGCTGCGGTGTCCCCAGCTTCACCCCCAACCTCTCAGCCAGGGTGGTGGGAGGGGACAATGCCGTTCCCCACAGCTGGCCCTGGCAGGTGAGTGTGCTGCAGAGTGGGACGATGGATGGAAAGGGAGGTGCAGGTCCCCAGGACCTGAGGGCTGACAGGTGGCTCTTCTGCACCCTCCTGCAGATCTCTCTCCAGTACCTCAAGGATGACACTTGGAGACACACCTGCGGTGGCACCTTGATCTCCAGCAACTTTGTCCTCACGGCTGCCCACTGCATCAGGTGAGCGACATGACACCCATCATCACCCCAGGGGGAGCCTCATGAAACTGCTTTCATTGAGCACCTACTGCACACCTCAGGCTCTGGGCTCAATCAACTACTGACATCCACTGAGTTCATTTATTCAGTCAATGAACATTTCTGTGCACCTGCTGTGTGCTGAGAAACTGCAGTGAACATAGCGTCTGCTCTCAGGGAGCTGATATTCTAGTGGGAGGCAGAGCAACAGATGGATAAGGAAATATCTAACGGAAAAGAGGCAGAAGATGTTAAAAATTCTGGGTTTCTAGGCCATATTGGAGCAGAGAAATGAAGGAAATGGGGTGGATATCATCCATCTGGGGAAGGGTACTTCACATGGAGGGACCAGGCAACATGGTGGCCAGGAGGGAGCCTGCTTGGTTGCTTTGAGAAAGAACAAGCATGAGCATCAGTCAGGGCACAATGTGCAGGGAGGGGAGGGAGGGGAGTGGGAGAGGAAACCAGAGGCAGATCATTCAAGCTCCTGTATGAACTTGGGCTTGGACCCTAAGCAAGTTAGAGCTACTGGAAGGGCTTTTACAGTGGCATCCAGAGACTCACACAGCTGAGTCAAGAATGGGTGGGAAGAGGGCCAGGGCACAGGTTGGTGGCCAGCGAACGGCAGTCCTAGGAGGTGAGCTCCTGGCTCCCGCTCCTTACAGAGGAGGCACAGGTGGTCCAGCCCCCTGGATGGAATGGCAGGGCCACACCTGGAACCCCAGTCCCTGGAGGCCAAGCCTCGGGCCCTTCCCCTTGTCCTGCAGAGGGGCAGTGAGAAAGACACCCCTCCCCCAGTGAGTCCCACAGGGGCCTCGAAACTCACCCTCCAGAGCCCAA